GGGCTGCCGGGCTGCCAGAGGGATGTCTGATTGCCATCTTAGGCCCAATCCCCTGGGGAGCAGGCCTAAACCAGCAAGTGGTCACCCCCGAGGGGTCCCAGACTGCGAAAGGGCACAGGCCGGGCTGAGAGACCCCCTACCCCCGAGTGCACAAATTTTTGTGCACCGGGCCTCTAGTTAAATATAATAAGAAACTGGGTTGTCAAACTCACCTGAAACCTGAAGCAATCTCACTTGGAAGCAAGCTTCACGGGAGGTAATCATAAGATCCCAGGGACTATGGTACTTACTTTTCGATAGTCCGCAGTACGCACATTTGCACTCTCTCCTTTCGTGGAAAAGTCCAATGGTCCTAAAGGGATTCCACCTGGGTTCAGAATTTTCTTGAGCATTTGATAGTCTGGCTTTTCATCATATGCTAAATTATGAGCACATGCCAAATATTGGGCTATTTCATCTGTGAAGTATTAAATTTTTTACATGTCATTCATAATCGGCAAAAGAATGTCAAGACACCAGTATCCTCAAAATCTTTCTTTCTTTCTTACACACATACAAACACACACACATCCTAAAGAAACTAAGAATGAACAATTCAATGAAAAGCACTTTTTAAATGATATCCAAAAATGACTGAAATATAGTGACCTATAGATTGACAAGATGAGAGAAACTGATTTTTTAAATATATTTTTGTATATACAGGATGTCCCCCCCCCCCTAAAATGTATACACACTTTAACAGCTTATTGCTCAATTTTGAAAATGAAATGTACTTTAATAAATACTGCCTTTATCATTATTCAAAGTGTGTGTACACATTTTGGGGTGGAACACCCTATATTTACTAAATCACTAATCTTATCAAAGAAAGAAAACTTTTTATATTATAGTGATTTTGATTTATAGGGTGCAAGTACTAAGAACTACCTGAGTAATATGATAGATGCTTTTATTTTATGTTGAGGTTTTAAAAAATCACTTAAAAACAATTGGTACATACTATAAACCTCCTTACTTCAAAGGGAAAAAAATAATTCCAAATTTTAATTAAGGCTTTGATTTTGAGATTATAACAGATCACTGAATTGTACGTGTTCAGCCAAACCTCCATACCTGGCTAGCCCAGCACCTCCCTGTTGCAGCCTTCCTGATTTAGTGCAGAAGGATGAGAAGTTGCTACCTTTTTTTCTTTCTCTCTATTGTAATCTCCTGCCTGGGACTATAAAGTAAC